GTTGTTTTTAGTCTGTGCACAGAAGTGGGATGAGGGAAAGGAGAGATCTGAGAGCCCATGGGAAGAGAGTGGTAGTTCTCTAAGGTGTGGAAGAAATGGAGTGAACTCCAGCAGCATTACCAGACTATGCAGGAGCTCTGCGCTGTTCGGCAGTAAGCGTCCATTGTTCTCAGGCTTTCTGGATGTTTAGGACTTTGCCTTCCTTTTGCTTGTTCATCTACAACCACCCTGTGGTTTTTGAAGCCTTTCACAGGACAGTGGAGAAGATGTGCTGCTTTGCCACCTTAAGTAGCAGCAGAGTGAGAGTGTATTTTGCACATAGAAGGCTGCAAACTAGGTGCATTAACCTCATGTCAAGGCTGAAGGCTGCTAAGAAATTGCTTTTAAAATAGAATGCTTTCTCTATTGTATATTTTTTAGAGAGAATGGAAGGAGGAAGAAGCACAACTACTTAACATTTTGAAAAACAAGTAAGAAGACTTAGTGAAATGCTGTAATTTCTCAGGAGCGCAAACACAAATGCATTCAGCTCTTACCTGAAGTAAGGGGCTGCATGTGAAGACTGAAAGGTACAAGTGTGTGATATGAGAGGCTAACAGTGAAGCATTTCTTAGAATTATGACATACTGCTTTAATTTTGCATACAAAGAAGCACAGTATTTTAATTATGATTTATGTGTGTATATGGTTTGTAACTTGTGTGGAATTCAGTGTTTTTGATTTTTAAACAAACAATACACCAAGCAGTGTGGTGTGTGCAGTGTTTATTTTTGCTGGGTATTCATGTTCTTGTGAGATGGTTTAAAGGCCTTGTGCTCTGGGAGAGTTGTCTGCTTCTCGGCCATCTTGAGGGCTGTGTTCGTATTTCTTGCCTTGCTATTTCCTTGATGCTCATCTCTCTCTTTTTTCGTGCTGTCTTCCCTCTTTATGAAATAACGCTCGGTTTCTTTTCTTTTGGAAATTGAGAAGACATCTGTGTGTTCCACATGGGTTAGGCAAGCAGACCTGTGATCAAAAGTTCATGGTGCTTGGCTTCCAGCAACTCCATGTTTTTGTCCTTTCATGGTCACTGAGGACTCTGAAAATTCCCTTGGTAATCCTCTGCACTTTGTTGTTTGTAAAGGTTAGCCAGGACTTGTGACATTCTCCCTCTGTGTGGACTCAGTTCCTTTTTCAACTTTCTATTTCATATTGTCATAAGATCCTTATTTTGTACTGGTCAGATGGGCCTGCACATCCTCATTTTCCCATGGACTGCTGATGCACAAGACGTGACCACGGAGTGATCAGACATATGTACTGTACAGATGCACCTTCTGCATGAGATAAGATCGTCATGAATGGAGTGCAGCTTGGCACAGCATGAGAAGAGCACCATGGCTTGTGGTCGGGATGGGCCTCAAGGGCCATCCAATCCATGCGGTGATATGAATGAAAAATACAAACTCACGAAGCTTTAGTTCTGTGTGGCTGTCAAGAGAGTTGCTAGTGAGGTAACATCTTTTGTTAATAGACTAACTTCAGATACATTTTTGTGGAATATCAGTTCTTGATACAAAATCCTTGAGATTTCTCTGGTTAGGTGTATTTATTTGTACGGGGTAGACAGCGAGAGGATTCTATCTCATAAATGTAAACAGGAGACCACAAATGTTCTAGCAGCAAACTATTTTCTATTTTATTGGTAGCTGAAGAGAAATAAATGATATTAATTGCATGCTATGTCTCTTGTGCTTTTAGAGAGAGTCTAGAAAGAGAGTCTTTTGATGGTGGAGTATATTGCAGTCTTTTAATATGGATTTTTTTCTCTGTCTCATTTCATTCCCCTCTTCTACAAATCAAAATAGTGGCCTATGCACTTACACTCACCGTAATATCTAAATTGTATTCGAATTTATGAAGCTTTGGAAACAGTCTCCTCTCTGCTGTTGATGGATCCACAATATGAAATAATCTAAAAGATTTTTTGTTTGTTCGTTTTTAAAGCTGGATTAATTTCCTGTGCCATAGAAGTGTGAATCTCTGCAGCTGATACTGCTGCTCAGCACTTTGTTGCAATTCCATGTCTTGAATGCTTTAATGAGTCATAACTGCCAAGTTGCAGCTTCTAAGTACAGAAGATATCAAGTCACACTGGAGAGACGTTCGTTGTTGCGGTTTTCCAGCTCAGCAACAAGACCGTATTATTTTGGGTGAACAGGTTCAGGAAACCTGTTAATTGCCCTAAAATCAGAGGTAGTGGGATTGTTGGCTTTGTGGGGGGAGGTCAAATTTGTAAAATGTTTGATGTCCAAAAATAGGTCTTGTTCATGTAGTATCAGCATTTCACAAGTGGAGATTTCATCTTTGAAAGTAATAAAGGTGTCATTTCATAAAAACTGTAAATGACTATTGGATAGGCAGGTAACAAAGGCTATTTATACAGCTCATGCTTTTTGTTGTGTAGGCTGAGGGAAATTGCTTAAATGGTGGAAGCGATATTTAGCCACTGTCACAGCCTGGAATTATCGCTGTATGGGAACAGGGATGCACAAGTTTAGGAAACTGTCATTCAGCAGAAAAAATATCAAAAATAACCCACTCATCCTGTAGAAAACTTAAAATAGTTCATTTTATATGATTCTTAGAAGCCTTTTATCATGTTTGACTTAGTTACTCAGGCAGCAATATTTCTGTGTGTATACTTTAGGTCTCCAGGTATAAAGTTTGGCAAGGAGCGTGTTCTGACCAGTAACTAGTCAGGGGCATGTGGCGGGTCACAAGGAGATGAGAACTTTTTGAGCGATTTCACTGAAGAAAGAAATAACATAATACTTTTAGGTTTTGAATTCTGTGCAGGAGTGTTTATAAGGTGCTGAGGCACCATAAGATAAGGGAAAAGACCCATTAATTTACTCACATTAGTCTAACTGTATTATATTTATTGTCAATCTGTAACAGACAGACCAGCGTAAGACTCTTATATACGTTGCCTCATTTAAGGAGTTGGCAGTCTCTACAAGTGTGCTAAATGTCTTTTGGGGAAGAAAATGGCAGTGCTGTACCGTACTCTGAAAAGGTAATTTCCTTTTACTGTCAGTGCTAGGGACCTCAGAGAAACGATTTTCAAACACATAGAGCTAAAATTTCTGAAGTACCTAGCAAGAAAGGTATTTTGTGGTCATAAAGCTTCTGCTTATCCGAAAGTGTGGAATCAGCTGGTGCTTTCTGCTCTGAAAGTATCTAACTTAAGTAGTAAGGTTCCTCTTTGCAACATCCATGGTGCTGGTGGGGTGTGAATCCACACGTCTGCTGCAGTACTGTGTGCCTAGTTCAAGTACATCATTGCTATATTGCATTGATCAGCTGGGGTAAGTCTTATTTAAGTATGTGCTGACTTACATCTTTAGAATTTGCTCATTTGTTTGGCTTTAGAAATGACCGAGTCTATCATTTTCTGCTTAAGCTTTAGAAGGTGCAAGGGTTGTAATATGTGCGTGTGCTGCATATACTTGATCTTTGCCATTCCTATACCTTGAGCAACATCAGGTATTGAGGCTGGTCTCGGCTTAGGTTCTTATAATGTGGATTTTAGGAGGGGCAGTGAGAGCTTGCATAGTCTAGATCCAGTGTCATTTTATTTGAGGAGAAAGGGAGATATCATTTTCCCCCCCAGTCTACTGCTCTGGAAGCTAGCAGTGTATGTAAAATTAAAAGCAGATGTAAAATTTGTCTACTTTTACGATTTAGCACTTTGCCTGTGATCCTTTTTCATGTGTAATGTTCTTTTTTTGTGGCCTTTTGGAGTGAAGAGAAATCTAAACATTGAGAAAATACTGAGAAAAGTTTCTTCCATGCCTCTCCATCTCTCCTCATGCCTTATGCCTTTTAAACTACCACTAAGGGACTTTGCTGTACTCTGGTCTATAGTACTATACTAAAATACAGAGATAAGTGCTTGGTTTTATGGATTTTACTGTGTAGCAGCTCCTAATCAAATTGCTCGAGGCTTATAGCAGATTCTGTGCAAAGGAATTAATTTGCATTGTTAGGATGTCTTACCTGAGATAAGTGCTATAAAGGAGGAGGAATCGCTCTGGGCCTCTTTCTGCCTGTACAAAATGGAAGAGAAAAAGACTGCAATACCAGTGGCAATTACTGCTCATCTCAGTGCAAATAAAAAACAGCGAGCATTGAAAATCCTACACAGGTGCAGAACGTTTTCCCCCTAGATATGGAGTTTATTTTGAGATTGGACCCCACGTAGCTTGGCAGTCCCAAAAGGTAATTTGGGACTCTTTTGACCTACTGCAATTGGCTGGCTGGGACTGCTGCAACTTGGAGCTGTCATCAGCTGGCTAGCAGTGAAGGTGCATGTTATTAAAATAGTGATAGAAGCAATCACGTTCCAGCATAATGCCATGTAACCCTGCTCAATCAGTCTTAATATCTGCCCTTGTTGAGGCCTGAAAGCTTGCAAAAGAATGTTCCTTGGGGATTAAAGCATTTGCATCTCCATGTTGGCAGCCCTGTTTGAGAGCCTGCTGCTGCCTGGTGCACGCAGAGGTGGCCGTGGCCGCAGGAGCACAGAAGCCTCTACCTGGTGTCATGTGTGGTGAGGGGACACGCTGGCTGCTCCCGCGCATCTTCCTGCACTGCCCCATCTCGTGGCTGCTCTGTTCAGGACCCACCAGACAAAAACACAGGAACCATTTCCTGACGTAGGAAATGGTACTTTCTCCCTTTGTCCTTCTGAGCCAATTCACTTTGTAAGACCCATGAAGTTAAGGAATGGGATTAAAAGTAAGCATTGCACCCATGCCTTCTGATGTGATTCCCTTGGATGTTACCGAGGCACTTTGGAGGCCTGAAGCAGCAGAACGCTTGCTAGCTTTCTGTTCATTTTTCATCAGTGCTTGATGTTTATACTTAAATTTTTTTGTAGTGAGAGCACACTTTTCTGTTGAAATCATACTTAGCAACCAGATACTTTGAAGAGTCTTGGAAAATAAACAGAGAAAAACAAAGGTTCTCCTTGGTGTGAGCTGCCTCTCTTCTTTTATCTGCACATTTTCCAAAGGCGAGAGAGAATGACTTACATGCTGTTGTCTTCTGCTCTGTTGCCGATCTTTCTGGCAAAAGCTTAAGCTATTCTGGGTTTGTGGAGCAACTGAAATAACTATGTCAATTGTTTTTCTCCTGATGGTTATGTTTATATTTTCCTTGAGAAGATAAACTGTTGTGTCATTTTTAAAAGCAAACAAAGATGATAAATTTCCCATGCTTGAAGAGTAATAAAATTGCCAGTTAAAGAAACTTGAACCTTCCAGAAAGCAGCTGGACTGTGACATTTCCATCTTCCACACAGCCTTTGAACACTGAAAAAAAGGAAGAATATGTCCATGCTATTGATAAACTATATGCAGCACAATTTTATTAAAACACCCCACTAGATTCACAGAGCAGTGGTGGTATGAACAACACGTCTCTATGTTATGTTGTTTCTTGTGATTATTCTGCAGTATTTGAAATGTGGTGCCTGTCATCTTGACCTCATTCAGAAGTTTTCAGCTTCTTCTACCTTACCTGCTCCACACGCCAGGTTCTTAACTTTTTTAGGCTATGTCTGGCCACAGCATGCTGAATAAGTGTAATATAGTTATCCTATGATGGTTGCTGGTCATATTCGTATAAGGCAGCAAAGACTTTGTAAAGAATAGATGCTCGTATCAAGTGGGGAAAATCTCTTTAAGTCTGAACTATGGGTGCTAGGATGGTCAAGTCTAACAGACCGAGGGATTGCAAACAGTGTCTCTAGGGACAGACTTTTAATTTGATGCTAGACCTCTCTCTTGCAATGGACCATAAATTGGGTGAGAAGATAGTGTAGTTCTGTTTGTGACTTTAGACTCTTGTGCTATAAATTCCAACATTCCAACATGGACTCATTTATGTCCATAGTTTTAAAATATCAGTATCTGTGATTGTAATCAGGGTATAGGAGGCATGTGTGTGCTATCAGTCACTTCCCGACTATTGAAAGAGCAGCACATTATACAGTGTGCACCAACCTTCTGGATGTGCCAGTATGGTTTTCTGCAGCTTTGTATGAACTTGTTCTGCAGAAAGCGCTAACTGGCTTTGTGGCTTTTGGGATAGAGGACCAGCAGAAAGAACTTTTCTCTGGCTGTGGAAGAACCATCTTAGTCGTTTGTGTCTCTGCTCTTCACATATGCCTGAACTTGCTGGCAATCCTGCAGCAGCAAAATTGAAGGTGTGACAGCGCTGCACCACCACCACTTGTCCATAACAGAGAATAGATCTGTGCTGCTAGCACAAAGCCCAGGCTACACACGGTTTTTACATAACTGTCAGGTTGGGGTAAGGATGATTTTAAAAAAATTCTATTAACCAAAATAAATTTACAGTCAAAAGGAACCAGTCTTCTATCATGTGAGTATTAACAGTTCTGGATTTTCTGGTTTATGTGGCTGTAAGTGCTTACACAGTAATTGTATTACTTTAGCAACATAAAGATAATGAAAATTGTGCAAGTTTCTTATCTGTGGAAACTTGTTTCTGGAAGGTAATATCTGTCAAGGAGACTAAATTTTGCTTGTAAAGCTCTGTGTCTGAGCATGTTCTGCTTCGTTCCTTGTGCATTGTAGTCCGGTGCACATTGAATGCTTGCTCTAATCTGATCTGTGGATTTGGCTTCCAGAGTTTAGAACTGCAGGCTGTGCGGCATCATGCTAGAAGGGTCTTAAAACAAATATATTTTAGAGTGGAAGAAAATCTGTACTGGAAGGTTTAAATTTCAGATCTTTGGCTCTCTACTGCCTTCTCATTTATTTCTGTAGTAAAAAATGCATAAAGATCTATCAGTTTTTGATGTGACATATATAGGGTAAAAGAGAGTGAGCTGTGGGGCTCAATCTAGTGACTCAACTTATGCAAGTCAAGGATTTACCTACAAAATGCAGGAACGCAGCTTGGTATTCGCATGCATGCATGCACACACTTAGGTACATGTGCGTACTATGTATGTGTGTGTACATATATGCAATGTGTATTTTGAGATCTATCTGTTTCTCCTGTGTACCCATATTCTAGGGGAGTGTGGTATATTCTGGGGTTGTGTGGTGTGTGACGTTACTTGAATTGATGCTTGTATGTATTGCCATAACGGCAGCCAGAATGTCAAAATTGAAGCTCTGAACTTAAAAATTCAGATCTTCTGAGTCTGTCATTATGCTTGATAATAAATCAAATTTAGAAGATGAAATCTATAATCACCTTCAATTTGCGCAGTGTTATTTTCTGCTTAAAAATGCTAATTGCCTGCTAGTAGTATTCCATTTCCCTTTGTTCTTTTTAATAAGATCAGCGTGTGTGGGAATGATGTGCTTTCGCTAAATTTAGCAGTAAATAAAACGTGTAAAAACAACCGTAATGTTTCCTGTTTCAGCAGCTCGGAAAATGAAAGGGAGCAGGGAATTGCGTTGATTTCCTGGCTGCCCAGGTTCTAGTGGCAGGATGGGGCTGCAGCAGGATAGGGCTGCAGGGGAGAGCTGCGAGATGCAGCATTTACATGTTCTGTGAGTCCTTTTCCTCCTTTTTACTGGCACATTCACACGAACGTTTTAGAAGTGGGAAGGTCTTGTTCAAGAGCTGTTAGATCATGGCTGCGTAAAAGACTGGGGAACATTGATAATATGCAACAGATGGCAAGCACATTTAATAGGAAGTCCTGCCTGGTTTTCAGTGCTCACAGGTAAGGGGCTTACGTGAGCAAGTGGTAAGGATGGAGAGAGGAGCTCTTTCCATGTGGGTTTGCACAACTGCTGTTGTAACGCTGATGTGGGCTTGTTTACTATATGCTGCTTCTAGCTAAAAGGGGAGTGCAGGGCATGATGAAACAGATGGCTGTAAGTCAGAAACGTAGCAAATTATGTATTGTGTGGCTCTAACAGCTCTGTAGGAGCACCTGTGGACAGAAAGAGCATTAAATATTTCTTTGAGCGCTATTGACATACAGTAATTCTTTACCATCTCAATCAAAATGTAATCAAATGCAAACACATAGGACTAGAGAGGAAAGTGTTTCTCCTATAAATGAGTCAAACCATTCAAACAAATGTGTGCTTTTAAGAGAAGTAATTAAAGTTCAAATTCAGAGCTACAAGGTTGTAAGTACAGTCTGTGAATATGAAATGTCTTCCTATGAAGACTTTTCAGTATAGCCAAGTTTTTCATTAAACTGTTTACTGACACAGGAAAAACAACTTCCTCTGTAAAAGACACACAGAGGGGATGAAAAGCGAAATTAGTATGATTAGTGGAGATTTTCTATAGCTGTAAGAACATCCTTCTAATTGCACAATGGATCTTTTTATTCTAAATGATTGTAAAAGCCCTTTAATTTTAGTGTACATGTGTTTCAGAAGCACACAAAGACAAACTGGTAAGAGACAAACTGGACCTTTTTATATTAACCAATAGTGTGTCAATTCTGATAACAACATAATGGTTATTTTATATTGCTCGTATGATAAATCTTACCTCTTTTACTTAACTGGGATAACTGTTTCATACTTTTGCATGTCAGAACTTTCAAAAGCCAAAAAAGCTTACAAAATATATCTAGGCTTGGCATTAGGAACTATTGAATTATTCAGGGAAATAAAAAAAAGTTTACCTGAGCTCCTTTGATTGTACCTTGCAGATTTATTTTGCTGGTCAGTCCTATTAGTGCAAATAAGCTACTTGAAATACTGACTGAATAAATAAAACTCCTTCTGAAAACAGGAAAAGATTTTCTACCTAAAACACCCAGGCCTCAAAGAGTTAACAGTGGGGCTGCACCGAATTCAGTGTATTTGCAGATGTTGCTGTGACCAACTGCTGATTTTTCTCCCATCCTGTCGGGGAACTCTGCCAGCCATGATTCATGGAATGATTTTTTTGCGCTGAGTAATCTGTGGTTTTTCTTTTTTCCTTTTCCCTCTGCTTTAGTTTTACCCTAAAGTCCTATTCATTTCAGCTAAAGGGAGGGGAAGCTTCCAAAGCATTAATATAAAACATTAAATGCACCGTGTTTTCAGAAGAGGAATTTTAACAAATGTTTAACCTCCAGTAATTTTACTTTGTCCTGAGCAGAGTAGCCCAGTGCAGATAAGCAGAGGTTTACAACAGAATCAGCTTTTATTTTTGCTAGTCACGTGTTTTGACAATTCTTTATGGCTTCTGTATTAGTCTTGCTAAAGAACATCTAAGTTCTGTGCTGATATTATGCCTCCTTTCTCGCAGATCGCTCTGAAAGAAATAAGCCAGACTGCCGCTCTTCAGGGTAAGACCTGTATTCCTGTATTATTTATTCTTCCCCTCCTTTTTTTTTTTCTTTCTTTTGATGGAATGAATTAGGAAATAAAGCAGAAAAATAAAACTGTCGTTCTACTACTACTGTTTTGGTACCAGTATGAAAGTGCCCAAAATACTTTTGTGTCAAAGTTAATTTGTTATTACAAAGAGTTAACAGATTTTACTACAATGTAATTGTGTGCACTTAAAAAACAGAAAGCTTGCCTGTGTAGCAAACTGTTATTTGATAAATAGGGATTTAAGACAAGAAGCCCTCATGGCTTTTGCTTCTACATACTTTGGAGCATCTGCTCCTGTACCAGGGAAAATAATTCTTGATTTGGCCAGGATTAGCTACACCTGATTATTTATTTCATTAACTCTGATCTTATCATCCCTGAAGTCTCAATGTTGGGAAAAGCAAACAAAAGAGGGTTAAACAAAACAAAGACCCAAACGTTTTATGTTGATTCAGAATTTCCACCAGCAATTTCTACAGACCTCCAAAACTATTGATTTGCAAGGCCACAGGAACCATTATAATTCTGAATGGTAATTCTTTTTCTCGTCTCTTCATCACCTTTTTTTTTTTGTGTGTGTGTGTTATTTCTAAACTTGTCCACTCCTTTTTCCAGGAAAGAATAGTGTTTCTTCCATATCCTGTGGTGGGTAGTGGGACTTCAATGAGTTAAAGTTAGAGTTCTCCAGCTCCAGCTGCTTCCCTCACTTTTTGGGAAAAGCCTTTCCAAAGGGCTCCTGCGGTGCCCAGCCTCCTGATGTGACATGTGGCTCTTTAATTTTATTTTACAGTCTGATTTTTTTGTTGTTGCTGTTGTTACCATTTTATAGTACACTGGGATAGATCTCAGCCGGAAGAGCAGAGGGAGTTGTAGCCTTCTCATAGCACATCTGATGATCTCTATCTCCCACATGATGCGATGGGCGAGAGGATGTTGGTCTCTTCCCTCCCATATCCCCAGCAGCACTGGAGCTGCGTCCAGCTGTGTGTTCAAGTTGCAGGGGAATTTTGCCTTTTCCAATTGCTATATCCACTTAAAGCACCAGTAACTATATGTCCTTTTGCAACTTAAAAATACTTAATGTTTTGCTTAAAATTGTGTGGTTATAGTTTACGTGTTTCAACTTTTATTAGAGCAGGTTGTATTATCGTAAAGTCAAAGAAATCTAAATCATTATCAAATGGAAATCTTTTTTTTTTTTTTCAGGATGTACATTTTAATGTTGAAATAGTTTCGTTATCTCCACACTTCTGGCTTGTTGTTCCCACCAGTATATTTTGGCTCGCTGTGTGTTTTTTAAGTTTTCATTTGGAACCAAAACCAAAGTAAAATTTTAAAATTGGCATTTCAATGGTGGACTAGCTCTTAAAGTAAAATGCTACTATAATTTGTTGGGATTAAAAATTCTGAGTTCTCGCAGGGAATGTAAAAAAAATGAACATCTTAGAGTGAGGAAAGTGGCCTTTGATTCAACAGCCTTTCATTCCTGTCAGTAGTGTATGTGTTTTCTGACAGTATCTATCCATCTTCTGTCCCCTTCTCAATCTCACTAGCTATTGTGTCACGTTAGCTCTGCTTTCCAGGTTGAACTATGAGTAGGAGAAGACACCGTTAAAAGGACAGTGTGAGTTTGTGCGTGCCTTGCTGCTCCTTCTAGGCACCAAGGCAAGCTGTTTGCCTTGGTCAATGACGTACTCTGCTCATTGATACAGCCGCGCTCCAGGGTTCATCTCTCATTGTAGATGGAAGCATAAGCCTGAGGAGGCAAATTGCTGGGTGAGATTCTTATCCCACTCTGGCCCCAGATGTGAGTCTGGGAAAATATAATCTAAAACATGATATAAAGTGAAACAAATTGATGCTGCATGTCAAGGTACTTGAACTCGACGTATGATAACAAGACTTTCTTAGAATTAGTATGAAATAGTTAAGTAGAACATGAGGTTGCGAGCTGACCGTAATACAATGAGCCTTAAGAAAGGCAGATATGCTAAGATCAATCAATGTGAGTAGATCTTTTCAAGCAAAAGCCAGAGAGGTAGCAATTTAATTGATTAAAAAACTGTGTTGGAACCTTGTCCAGAAGTCTGTGTGATTCTACTCATAAATGTGGAATAGGAAGAGTCAAAAGAAGCCCAGTCATCTTCCCCAAATCTCCCAAGGCTAAGATCCAGAACATGATCAGCTTAATTAAAAAAATAAAAAGAAAGGAAAAAAATATGACAATATTGCTTGTGACTGTAGAGGGCTAAAGTTTATGTCCTTTCAATCACTATGCTCTTAGTTCCTGTGTCTATGCATTTCTATATCAGCTTCTGCTTGAATGCTTATAGTATGTATAGTAATTTATGAGGATTTTCTGTATGGTAGCCAGTATGATCAGCTTTGCCTTTCCAAAGGTGGAATGTAGGAGTCCTTTATTAACCCCACAGATCTGTGCTAGTTCCTCAGCCTGCGAGCTAGGGGTTCCTGACCAAAACCTTCCACAAAGTGCTGTTATCATTTTTTTAAACAGCTTGTGTTGTTTCCTCATCAGAAATAACTCTGTAGCTAACTTTCTCTACCACATAACAGATATTTGTTTTAGGTAAATTAAAACCCAGGTTGCTGTGTTGCAATTTGGCATTTATAAATGTAGGAGAGAGTGACAAAAGAACCAGTCAAAATCAATCTTTTTGATTCAAACGCTAGGCAACTTGCATTCTGAGATACCTCAAGCATCCAGATACTTAGTTTTCTATTCCTCTCAATCAAAAACCCGGTGTTATCCATTGACAATGTCTGCATTACCTTGTCAATGCAGCTGTACCATCTAAAGGAATATTTCAAATTTTCCTTTTCCATCCCATGTTACAGGTTGTTTTATGGATCTGAAGTTTGAGGTCTTGCTGATCCATCCTTCCTCCACAGGAAGGAGAAGCAATGCATGTGTGACAAAAATCAAGCATGAAAGCCTTAAATAGGATGCAGTGTTACATTTAGAAGAAGGAATGACGTTGGGGGATGACCTTTGTTTTACTGTTGCATTCTTAGTGCTTATATTTAGCCCTTAGGATTTTTAAGACTAGAGTGCAGCAGATTAGTCTTAAGTGTACATTTAGGGTGTGGAAAAGAAAAAGATCCTGCTTTTGTATACTCCAAGTAGGTCATCAGAAATTGATGTAATTAAAAAATATCTTTGCAAAGATCTAGACCCAAGCCCTGAGGGTGCAGTTTCACAATTGCTTTGAGCTGAGTGAAGCCTGAGCTGCTTCTCCAGAAGGAGCGACCTCATTCCCTCCAGTGCTCATGTGCTTGGTTGGATCAGAAGGCTGATCTCCAAGGGGAAAAAAAAACCACAGCTGTCTTCATTCTGCAGATGAAGCACTCTTGAGCAGAGGGAGACAGAGGGATTTGCTCCAAGTCAGACAACAAATGAGTGGTAGAACTGGAAGTAGAGGCTTGGGACACTGTTTTTAGTGTCTGAAAAGTAGGTTCACTGGATCCTACTTGGTTCACGATCCTCATGGTTCAAAATTAATTTTTTTTTTTGTTTTCAGTGCTGAAATTTGGGTTCAGTCACTCAGAATACAGTGTAATCGTACTGCTTAAATGTGAATGTGAGCTGGTGTAAACTAAGACTAGACTATGCTCATGTTGTTTTGTTTATCTGGGGCTTCTGGTAAACAGCACATGCTATGAGTGCCAGAGCTCTGCCTCTTTAAAGCAGAGTGAGCTGGAGCAATTTTGTGCAGTATGTTTTTTTGGCAGCTTTCTTGCCACAATAAATCACTGTGTTTAATATATTCTTTGCAACATTAATTTTCCATGTTCAGTTTCTAAAGGAGGAAAAAAAAAACATCCCACAGAGCAGAGGAATTAATGGCAAATCAGTTTGACTTAAGTGTTGGCAATTAGGGAGCTTGTGTGTGTCTGGAGCCTGTTGCTCTGTGTGTTTGGTATTAATACCACCAATTCTTCACTGCACTGTCAGGGATTTATGTCTGTTCACCTTGCAGAGAGTGCTGGAGGTTACTGCAAAGGGAGCATCTTGGCCCCTGTTCCAGACTCCTCATTCTCGAACACAGAGGAGGGGTTGTTTTAATGAAAACACTGTGTTCCTGGATTCTGGGAGGGGAATTTGGAAGGTCTGACTGCTTTGATGCCCTGAACAACTGCTTCCATTGTCAGGGCTGCTCACCAGGGCCTTCTGGCATGTTCAAGCATCCTCTGAGGCAGAGGATAGTCCGGGAAGAGAGGGTGTGTGGGAGCCGGCAGCCACGCAGCACTAGGAGGCACGAGAGGTGGACATCTCCCTGAGGTGCTCCTAGAGACAGGGGCTTGAAAGAGATGGGGAGCTAGTCCGAAGGATGAAAGGGATTACAGAGGCAAACAAGCGAATGAGGTGGGAATCAAAAATGCTGATTTATAATGGAAAATAATGCTGGGAATGAGATGGTTTTGCAGGCGTAAGGAAGAAAGGGTTCGCCCTTCTCTGCAGAAGAAAGGGTTCACCCGTGTCTGCCTTGAAAGAACTCCCACGTTCCTTTGGGGGTCCTGTGTTCACAAGCAAGATGTCACTGTCTCACCACATCTTTGAAGAGAATCCACCCAAGAACAAGGGTGATCTGCGCGTCAGCCAGGAGAGATGTCTGGGGCATAAACAACCATGACAGACGTTAGGTCTAGAAAGGAAAATTTCAGGAAATGCACAGTTTCACATTGCAGATAGTCTAATGGCTGGACATTCCTTTCAAAGGTCATTTCAGGAAGATTTTACTTTTTCCCTATAAAACAATAACAGTTCTTCTAAAAACAGCCAGATGGCTTTGTTTTTCCACCCTGCAAAAAGTAAGTAAGCTCTGAGGTTGTTAAAAGCTGTGAGGAGACCAAATGGGCCAAATTAATCAGACATGGGTATAATTTAGTCCTTGTATTATTATTCATTCTTTCCAAAGACACTTCTATGATAAATAGCACATGAAGTTCA